GCTGAGGCGCTAGTACGTGACAAAATGGCCGAAGCTACACACATTAGAGCGGCACCTGCAACGTTAAAAGCCGACGTTTGGAAGCATTTTGGTTTTTTAGAAACCGAGAAAGACGGCAAACGGACACTTGATAAAAGCTACACTATGTGTAGGATGTGTGAGGTGAAAATAAAATATTTTGGCAACACAACAAACATGAGGAATCACCTTCAACGCTGCCACGCAGATGTGAACGCAGAAGGACCCGTTGTTGCTGCTAACCAAACAACTCTTCCAGCTTCAATATTAACCACTCTTCCTGCAAACTAGCAAAAGGCAAGGAAAATAACAAAATCCATTGCCGTGTACATTGCATCGGATTTGCGCCCTTACTCCGTGGTGGAAGGAAGGGGGTTTCGTGCAATGATGCATACAATGGATCCACGGTATAAAATCCCCTCACGTCGTTTTTTCGCAGAGACAGTAATACCAAATCTGTACCAAAGCACCAAAACAACAGTACTGGAGTCGCTGAAAAAAGCAGGTAAAATAGCATTGACTTGTGATGCCTGGACATCTGTTGCTACGGATTCGTACATCACTGTAACAGCCCATTATATCTCGGATGACTGGCGGTTGTTGTCCCATGTTTTGCAAACTAGGGCTGTCTACGAGAGTCACACAGGCTCTAATATAGCTGACCTAATACAAAAAGTCGCTGAGGAATGGCAGTTTCCCACGAGAGACTTGGTGTTAGTGACCGACAACGCATCAAACATGGTTGTTGCTGCTCAGCTGGGGGGATTTGTGCATGTGCGATGTTATGCACACACGCTAAACCTCGCGACTCAGCGAGCGCTCCGCTTGCCCTCTGTTGCCAGACTACTTGGGAAGATTAGACGTATTACTGCATGTTTTCACCGCAGCCCCATTGCAAAGCACCAGTTCGAGGAGAAGCAAAAGCTGTTAGGCCTGCCTCATCACATGCTAAAAACAGACGTCATTACCAGGTGGAACAGTGCCCTAGACATGGTGGACAGGTTTTTGGAGCAGCAGCCTGCAATCTCTGCAGCTTTACTTTCTCAGCAGGTGAGAAGAGGAGAGGCAGACCTCTGCACTTTGAGTGAGCTGGACATCTCTCATGCAGAGGATCTTGTAAAAGCCCTCAAGCCCCTAAAAGATGCCACAACCCTCATGTCAGAGGAGGGTAGCCCCACAGTATCTTTGATTGCACCCCTCCATTCACAACTTATTCAAGACACAAAAATGACTGTAGGAGATTCGCCTGTGACCAGAGAAATCAAGCAGGCTGTCAATACAGACTTAACTAAAAGATACAACAGTGAGCAAGAGAAAAACACACTCCACTTGGCCTCCGCTCTGGACCCTCGCTTTAAGAGATTGCCCTTCCTGACTGAGGAGGACAGAAAGGAAATATTCCGCAGAGTCACTGCTGAAGCTGCTGCTTTAGAGGTATGTGTTTACTGCTATATTTGCAATATATGATTCATAGTTTGTAAAGTTACTCTCTTAAGCTCATATGTAAACATGTAAATAGTGCAAGATTTCTTGCAAAATTATTATAAGAATAAGTGATGTGTTTGTTTACATTACAGCAAAATCAGGACAACGTAGAGGACGAGAACAACCTAGAGAATGACACAATGGAAGGGGACACCACAACCACGCTGGAGGAAGACACAGCCCCGCCTGCCACCAAGAAATGAGTTTCGGCTTCTCTGCTCCAGAATGTGTTGGGACAGACATTTACTCACACCGATGCTCAGCCACAGTCAGCCGACACCAGAGCTGAAGAGGAGGTTACCAAGTACTGCAGTGTCCCACCAATCTCTCTGTCTGAAGACCCCCTCAGCTGGTGGGGGGAAAATGCAGCTATATTTCCTCTGCTTTCCAGGTTGGCTAAGTTATACATGTGTATTCCTGGGACCAGTGTGTCTGCAGAGAGGGTATTTTCAACTGCAGGGGATATTGTTACTGCTCAGCGTAGTACAATTACACCAGAGCGTGTAGATCAGCTTCTTTTCTTACACAAAAACCTAGTGCCACAACCTTCTACCAGCTAAGCAGTTAGGTATCATTATTATTATTGTTACACACATTGCTTTTTTACTTACATTTTGTTTTGAATATCAAAGCAGTTTTGTTTTACAGCATTTTTCTCTGTTCATGTTTTGGTATATGGAGGCAGCTGTTGATGTTACATGAGTTATACTGTCTATCAGACTACTTGAAATAATAATGCTGCATATTGCACTTTTATGCATCAAAATGCACGTTACTGTAAAGCAGATTGCTAAGCTACTTTTTTGAACAAGTGTTATTTTATAAGAAGTTACAGACAGACTAATGCTGTCAGTTTTCTATTTGTTACGGCAAATGCTGTTACTGGTACTTTTTGAATATTGCACTTGCACCTGTTAATAACGTAATAGTGTGAAATCTCTTTTTTGCTTCACCCTTGAGTTCTGTGGTTGTTTAAAAAGTAGTAGAATTTTACATAGATGGTACAACATTGTGATGCATCGTTAATCGTAATCGAATCGTGGGCCTCTGAATCGTAATCGAATCGAATCGTGAGATACCCATAGATTCCCACCCCTAATAAGGACTGTATTTTTGTATGTACTTTTGTATGTATGTATGTATGTGTGTATATATACTGTATATATATTGTTGTGTAATATGCATAAAAATACAATTACCCTGCCTCATTGTTTAATGTATTTAGTTATATATATTATGTCTAAGGGTGTATTATTTTGTTTAATTCCTGGAAAGGCCTCATACAGGCAAATATGTAACTGCTGCATGTTGTAGAGGAAATTCAGCAATTGTCTTATTGCAAGTATGCCTTTACATTTTATGTAATACCTTTGTATTGTAACCAAATACAATTGTTATTGGAATTGTTTTTAAGAAAGTGGTTTATTAAGAAAGACACCACACACGTTATTGTATTTGTTTTATTGAGAAAGTGGTTTAAGTAAAACACCACACTTGTTGTTTTAAGCATTTATTAAGAAAATGTTTATAACATGTATAAGCAAGAGCACAGATAGAGATGACACAAGTATTAGCAAGATTGTTGAAGAAAAAAGAAGGAGGGCATTACCTCAGCTGGTGTGTTTCAGACAAAGCGTAAAAGCAGAGCAAAGAATCCCGAAGAAGAAAAATGCAAGACCTTATATAAGAAACTTCTTAGGGAATTTCCAGACTTCTTGTCACAAGACGATGGGATCCACCGGCTATCTAGAAAAGACTGAAGTGCGATGATTAAATCAGATGCTGCTTCGGGAACGTCTGAAGAGCTCTCCGGCACCAGAGCCATCGCTGATATTGCCTTGAGCAAAGAACTTTTTGATATTAATACTTTATTTAGTAGTTGTATACGTAGTTGTAGAATATTTGTACTGCTTACTTACTAACTGTAATAAATAAACTGACTTGTATTTATACAACACAATTCTGCCTCCCCTGGCATTGATTTATAGCTAAGAACAGACCATGAAGACTTCTGTGAGCTGTTTTGTAAGTATGAACTCAGATGCTTATGAGATAGGACAGATTTGACTTACTTTACCTAATCTGAGAATAAATAAAATAAGGTAGAA